GGAAGCTAGCTGCCAGTCCCTGGTGACAGCTCCTCTGCAGACCCTGACGACAGAGGTGAACTCCACTGGAAGCAGGGTCCAGACCCGCTCTGGAGAACAAACTTACAAGTGTGTGAATTCTGCCTTGAGGTAAAGGAGGGAAGAAAGAAAGGATGAAATTAACCCTCGGTAGCCGCTCAACCCATCCCTGTCAGACTAGCTCTGCTAAGGCGTGTTACTGCCTGGGATGTGGTCAGTGGTGCTCAGAGAGAAAGGAGGTTCCTTGTACAAATAAGTTTTGGAAATACTTGTTAAACACATTTCTTGTCTAGGGGAATCTCAGAGCCTTCAGTACATATTGAAAAGCACTGTGAGCCTCCAAGAGCAGGAGTCTGGCCGAATTGCAGATTCCGTAGACCACAGAATTCTGCTCCACACACTCTGGAAAATGTTCTAAACCACAGTCAAGAGAATGCCTGAGGCATACCCACACGGTACCTCCAGCTCGACAGCCCCTCAGACCCACCGTGAAGGCCACAATCAGAATTTCTCAAGGTACTAAAATAGAGGATTCTGGCGAACCCACTCCACTCTGGCCAAAACAAGAATGCCTCATTTCCTGTTCCCACAGTGAACAGAAAGTATCTCCCAGAATACATACACGTCTCTGAGATACTAACGTGAAGTATCAAGTTCTCAATTTAAACACGTTTACCTGCCCGGTAGATGTTCCAACTGCCATGGTCAAGGCTCCGTTAAATTTCAGAGCAGAGATTGTTGGTAAACTGTTTATCCTGAAAGGCAAAATATTCATGTTCCATATATATATGGTCAAACTTTCCAAGTAAAAAGTCGTTGTTAATCTGCAATTCTCTTTTTTGGAAGTTTTTATTTACTTATTGAGAGAGAGAAAGAGCAGGGGAAGGGCAGAGAGAAACGGGGACAGAGGATCCGAAGTGGGCTCCGTGCGGTGTGGACAGCAGAGAGCCCAATGCAGGCCTCAAATTCATGAACCGGGAGGTCATGACCTGAGCTGAAGTTGGATGCTTAACCAACTGGGCCACATAGATGCCCCTATTAATCTTCAATTCTAAAGGGGAAATCACACTTCTATCCTTATGTTTAAAAAAAAATCATTGCATCAGGGGGCGCCTGGGTGGCTCAGTCGGTTGAGCGTCCAACTTCGGTCAGGTCATGATCTCACAGCATGAGTTCAAGCCTCGCATAGGGCCCTGTCCTGACAGCTCAGAGCCTGGAGCCTGCTTCAGATTCTGTGTCTTCCTCTCTGACCTTCCCCTGTTCATGCTCTCTCTCTGTCTCAGAAATAAACAAACATTAAAAAAAAAAAAAAAAAAAATGCCCCACCAAGGGCAAACGAAGCCACTAAAAACTATTTGTGAATCAATATTCTATTTAAAAAAAAAAAAGAGTATTTCTTTTTTTTTTTTTAATTTTTTTTTCAACGTTTATTTATTTTTGGGACAGAGAGAGACAGAGCATGAACGGGGGAGGGGCAGAGAGAGAGGGAGACACAGAATCGGAAACAGGCTCCAGGCTCTGAGCCATCAGCCCAGAGCCCGACGCGGGGCTCGAACTCACGGACCGCGAGATCGTGACCTGGCTGAAGTCGGACGCTTAACCGACTGCGCCACCCAGGCGCCCCAAAAAAAAAGAGTATTTCTAAAGACCACAGGAGAGATTATCTTTTCATATCCCTTCTTTAAATTTTCTATGTTCACTTCTGTTACAGTCATAAATTTAAAGCAAAAACAATCTTAAGACATAATCATAACACAAAGAACGCTGGCCTGTTTCCTCAAATGACTCTTCTAAGAAGAAATCGTCGATGACAGAACTTATAAATAGAAACCAAGTCTCTCCATTTTAATTCAAAGACAAGTTAATGTTTATGAGTAAGAGAAAATTAACTTTTCTGCTTCCTAGGGAGTGGGTAAATAGCTTTCTCTTACAACTGACTCCCTACTTTCTAAAAATAAGCAGGTATTGGATTTGTTTTCTTTCATACCAATATAATGAAATGTTGAGAAGCATTTTTGTTGGTTCCTTCCATTGACAAACAGAGCTTCACAGTAATTCAGTAACCTGTGTGTTAATGTTTAGAGATTTTCTGTATGTGTGTTATATTTCACAACAAAAATGTCTGATTCTAAGAAAAAAATGAATATAAAATGAGTGAATTTTCCACTTTAAAATTCTCTACTATACTCCATATTGTGATCAGTGAAGTTGTTCATTAGTATTACTTTAATAAAACTCAGCAAGAGGGCAAAAATTTCCTATACTCCCTTTAAGTGTCATGATTAACAGATGAAAAAAAAATCAACTTATTCTTTACTTATATCAGGAAAAATATATATTAGAAAAAGACGTCTTTCCAGATCAGTGATTCTTAACTTTTCTCCAAGCCAAGCTTTACATAAGCTGATTTTTCAAAAGACGGAACTATACAGGGTTGCCTGGGTGGCTCACTTAAACGTCTGACCTCTACTCAGGTCGTGATCTCACAGGTTCATGAGTTCAAGCCCCATGTCGGGCTCTGTGCTGACAGCTCAGAGCCTGGAGCCTGGTTTGGATTCTGTGTCTCCCTCTCTCTGCCCCTCCCCATACTTTCTCTCTCTCAAAAAGCAAATAAAGAAACATGAAAAAAAATTTTTTTAAAGATACAACTATATAAATTCTTCTCTCCCCCAGAAAAACGCAAATGACACAAAAATCAGCAGACATTTAGAGGGTCCATGTTCTCTCTGTACCCCACTCATCAAACACCCCACCTCCCACATGATACAACTACAGACAGGTAAATGTTTGACCAGCTGAAATGAATAAATGCTAATAAAGTTACATTACTGCAAACATCAAGAGCCCAGAGAAAGGAAGTTCCTGAACCGATTATAGCAAATAATCCCATGTTAAGAATCTGACCAAGAGAGTATAAGACTGCATACTAATGCGAGCTCAGAAAAATGTCTGAAAACATGTACCAAACAGTAACCTCTCTGGTGAGTGAAGAAAGGACAGGGGGCTTGTAGTTCTCACTTAATTCAGGCATTTAGAAGTTTTTAGCGCCCAAGTGTGTTACTTTTCTGATTGTTATAAATGTAGCAACTGGCAAACAGGAACAAGAAAATCTCAGAAACACTTGCCTCTCTCCAAGGTAGAACTCAAAGTATATCTTTCCTTTTCACTTACTGACAGGAGTGGCGACCTCCCGGTTCTATCACTAGACCCTAAAGAACTGGAAATACAAATTCCTCCAGTGCATCAATTTTAATACAATTCCACAGCAACTAACAAAAAAGACATTCCATGTAGCACCTGAGAAAGGAATTCTGTCTGGCTTTCCCACTTAGTGAACTTTTCCAAGAGAATGATTTTTACATAAAATAGTCACAAAACTACAACCTTAGACATGAGTCTGAAGAATTTCATCCTTTACTGATTTTAACCTGGTATTGACACATGCGTTTAAATCATAAGCAAATGGATATTTAAAAAGTACGTCAATTCCCACTTACTCTGAATCTGCCGTGACGCTACTCAGTGCACAGTCCAGCAGACCGACTCTACCGCGAGTTCTTGGGTCCCAGCACTCCACACGACCCTCAACACACAAAAAGTGGTAATTTTACACAACAGCTACTGCCAGGTATTTTTAGACAAACACCAAAAAAGGCCTTATTAACACAGTCTCATGGGAGATAAGAATTTAACTTTTTACCTTAATACCCTTTTTAATACTGTCAAATGTTTTATGATAAGCTGAGTTTGTTTTAGAATTGAAAGAAAGAAAGAAAGAAAGAAAGAAAGAAAGAAAGAAAGAAAGAA